AAGAAATTCCATCAAAAACCCACACAAGCTTGGTGAACTCAGTTCTATAACCCCTCTTTATGAATAGTTGATTGTGCCACCTGTATTTTTTTAAATTTGTCTTTATTCTAGAAATTCTTATCAGATTACAAATATCAATAAATACAGTAGTAATTTTAGAAAGTGTGGGAAATATGTAAAATTTGTCTGCTTTCGTGGTTACATAATTAATAAGAATTAATTTGGAGAAGGAAGCATATAAACCAACTCAAATTATACAATATACAGTACCACAGATGCTTAAAAGTGCCTATAAAATGGTGGGTGAAAACTCAGGAAATAAAACACCTTTTAAAAAAAAGCAGTAACTCCTTGCCTTTTTATTAAGCCAATTCCCTGTATAGTTAACTTTTAAAAGTGAGAATTGCTGAGAACTCCCTAATTTTGTCAAAGATAATTGCAAAGCAACAGAACAGGTTTAATTTTATTCTAAATGCAAAGTAAATAAAATAAAAAATCCAAACTGATTGTGTAAACGCCAAAAAGGTAAACTGGTAGGGAGAGGTGTGGGAGGAGGATGGGGAAGCACAGCCTCTTCTTAAGGACAGTTTAAATGTGACATAATTTTCAGTGACCAGTAATGGTGATATTTTGGTGCTCAAACTATCTTTTACTCCACATCTTTTATTTGTCCTAGGCTTTTATTATACACACACATCTGTTCTTGCTATCACAGGATAATGGCTTGTTTCCTCTGTGAATCCCTTCTGTATTTTACAGTGAAGTTTAAAAATACATACAACACAGCTTTTCAGGGGCTCTCAAAGATCACAAGGTTGCTAATGTGGGTAAAGTTAATTAAGCTTACTAATATCTGGAGACGCTGGCCAAAAATGTATTTTGGACACTTAACAAAACACAGATCAATGCTTCAAAACTACTACTTGATATGAATCTTAGACTATGTATTTGAGTGGCATATCATTCTTGTGAGAAAGAGAGATTACTCACTTTTTTCTGCTTACACACAATGACTCTTCCAGAATGTAGTAATTCACTCCTAGTTTTACCAATTCTCGTTTTACTTCTTTTGCAGGTTTTCGACTGTACATGGAATACACTACTTTAGTTCTGGCCCTTCAAAAACAGAAATATAAAAGTTAGCTAGCAACATAGCATGAAAATGTAAGCTTTAACTTTAGATGAGACAGGAAGGCTTTTTATTTCACAAGACAACTAGGCTAAAACAAAGTTTAAATTAATAGTGCCATTTGCTTTAATGTGATTATTTCTTCACAAATACAATGTTCAAAGAACAATGCCCTTTGATTTTTCTGTAGCAGCAGACAACTTTGTAACAAGATCCACGGTTACTGTGAACAGAAAATGTAAAGATGCAAAAGCAGTGCATTCACCGTGTAATATTCAAGGCTAGAAACGACCTTTCTTGGATTGGAAGCGATCAGAAAAAATAATTTGCCCAATCTCTCTGCAAAAGGTCACACTCATTGCCCTTGTTTGGACTTTTTCAAAATGCAGCATGCAAGACCTGATGTCTGCCCATGCTGAATTAAGCAAAATTATTACTTGTAAACCATGATCCTGTTTATATTATCCAGAAATATCCTCCTTTGATTGTGCAAAGCATGATGTTGTTAACTCCTGTTTATTTTCTGATACTGTATCATCTCTAGCTTATTTTCCCCAAAGATGCCCCGTCCTATATTTCTGTAGTTAGAATAGAATAGGATATTTTAGTTGGAAGGGGTCTACAGTGATCATCTAGTCCAACTGCCTGACCAGTTCAGGGCTGACCAAAAGTTAAAGCCAGATAATGCCAGACACAGAACTATGAATATAAGGCAGGCAAAACGATTCACATCCTTTTCTCCTTCATCCCTATCTTGTTGTTTTCCTGTTGTGTTTTTAACCTATTTTACCAAATTACCAAAAAAATGATGCTACGCTATTAAAATTAAAAAAAATTCATGACCTTTTCAGATAAAGCAATTTCAAATCAGAAAAATATTATTTTGAAAAACTAAAAGTACAAACCTCAGTAATTCTATTACAAAATTTCAGTTTCAACTTGTCTTAATATTTCAATAATTAGATATATTATAATGAAAAACAACCAAAAGACAACCAATCCCAGAAAGCTAATAGAAATAACTAAACTGGCTATCTTGAGAAAAAAAAATCTGTCTACAATGTCAGAAATAACTAGAATGAAGAAAAGATATAATAGTATATGTTAATTACAGTTCCATAATCATATTCTGATTTTTTTGTAGCCGTATCCATTCTACAGTATATACTTTCTGATGAATACAGTTCCTGAAGAAATAATGCATGCGTTTTCAATCAGACTAAAACAACAAATCAAGTTCTGCGGGCTTTTAGCAAATTTTACAATATAATGTCATCCCATTCCTACTGTATATTACCAATATTAAAAGAATTAATAGAAAATAAAAATAAATCCTCAACTTTGAAATTTACCTTAACCCTGCATCTTCATAGTGTGGATGATTTACTATAGGACGAAGTGTAGACAATTTAACACTTGCCATTGTAGGCATTGCTCCTGCAAAAACTGCATCTGAAATAAAGAATGAAAGGCATGTCTGAAATGAAGAACCAAGCAGTAAAAGCAGAGAAGCAATCTTCAAATATCTAAACAGTAATCCTGTAGAAAAACTAAAAGTGGGTAAGGTACTCTTTTCGAAAAGGCCATAACATGGCACCAACAGGAGATACACAAAATCACTTTTTCTAAAAAAAAACCCAAACCCAAACCTTGAACTCAATATAAATTATTAGATAACTAGACATCTAAGAATGGATATTTAATACATTTTTCTTGAATGGGCAGAATTACAAATACATTATGACAACATGTTTTTATTGTTACTTCTTACACCATTGCTAACAGAGCAACAAAATCTCAGTCCACTTTGGCTTGAAAGTATTTTTCTGCCAAAAAATGTAACTGCTTTTTATATAGTTTTCTAACACTTTTACTCATTTTAGTAAAAGGACGGGGGCAACCACAACATAGACACACTTTGAATTCTCTTCTAGCAAAAGGACCACTGTCATTTAAGTAAAACTTATTTTAATTGGACCTTGTAAACCCACTTTTGTTGTAGAAATACTACACCAGTGGCTAGAACCTCCAGACTGGTAGTCTGGATCTAACAAAGCAAGCTTTCAGTGTATTTTCCATTTGAGATAGCTTCTATATGGATAAATATATGTAATTAAATCATGGCTTTAGGATAGTCCCAAGGCAAAGCCACAGATAGCAGCAATACCTCTGCACTCATTCATACCAAGTTCTATAGTTACATCTCACAGTAAATGGGGAACTTCATACATTATTAAATAGTTTACCTTGTCTGGTATTGACTTTTATCCACTCTAAAAGTTCCTCCTGTGGCAAATTGCTAAATTCTCCCATGATATTCCATTGAGTTTGAAGATTTGCTGATCCCTCTATTGCCATCAATGCTAAAATAGCAAAGACCAATGTTTTGGGCTGGATTTTACAGAAGAGCCATCCAAACAACTGAAATGCAAGAATCGATTAATTTCTAGACAACAATTCTGTAGTGTTGTATGCAGCATAATTCATTTTTATTTCTCTAAAAGGAATCGTAACATATACTACAATATGAAACATCTCTGCTATTGCTACACTAAACTTCAGTGAGATCTCATAAGAAGTATTCATGCTTACCAAATGTAGGGCATTATATTTGTAATTCAACAACAACAACAACAACAGACATTAATGCAGCTTTTAAAGTTGTAGTTCAAATGTCAAATTCTGCAAGTAAAGATGATTCAATAATGCTAACTTCACTTTTACAGTATTTTATCTCCTATTTACATCAAGAGTTTCTAGCTATAGTATATGGCTTAGAGATTATACTGCAAACTTCTGAAAAGCTGACTTTGAGGATATAAGCTTGATGTCGCTTTATATCCTACTCTTCCCTTTCTTGAAATGAAAGAGATGGCCCTTGCATTTTTTCCTAAAGATAGTTTGCTAGAGGCTCTAAGCAAATACTCATAAATATGTGAAATGGGTATTTAAGAAAGAAGTAGCAAATTTGCTATGTTGAAGTTTAGTTTGAGCAAGAACAATTTATCTCATCTGTATCTGACCTAAACCTTAGACATAGTATGAATTACTTTTTTTTTTAAATCTATTGCTAATTAAAAATAAGGCTTCACATTTCAAAAATATCAACCTGCACTAAATAAATACTTTTAATTCACAGTGTCTTTACTCATTTTTTTAAATTAAAGCATAAAACGATAAAATAAAGTTTCACAGTAAAACCTCCTGCTAGGCTGACTACACCAGTTAGGCAGCGTATTTTATCTTTGCTATAAATTAGCCTTAAAATACTTTAGATTACTAAAACTTCCAAGCTACCTCTCCAAAAATACAGTGTACTCAACTCTCATCCTCAAAGACTTGCTAAATGCTCTACCAAGAACAGCAATCATATCCAGGGAAATTTAATATACCAAATATGCCTGACCACTGTGTAGGTCCAGAAGGATGAAAGGAAATGAATTCTACACCACTCTAGATGAGCAAACCTCTTTTTTCTTTTTTTGCCAATGGTTGCAAAATCTCACTTCAAGAACATGTTAGAACATTGGAATTCTTTACGGAGTTCCATGGCTTTTAAAATCAAAGGAAATCACTTTCCTATAATGTTTTTATAAAACATCATTAATGTCCAAAGTATCTATATTTACTATTATTTTGTTTATATAAAGAGCCTAGAATAGTCGAAAAACAAGCATTTCTTTTACAGGATATAATGTTCCTCGTGTGGTTTTTATATTGATTCAAGGCGTCTCAGTTGTTTTTTGTCAAATTAATATGTTAAGTCTTTCTCCAGCTATTCTTCTTTGCTTTCACAATTTTCACTCAGGATAGTATAATTCATCCTGACAGAGGAAATGCGCAGATGTGAACAGTTATCAGTTTTATTGTCCATCAGATGCCACAAGCTGCAACACTGAGGCAATGGAAAGTACACAGATTGATGCAGTGGGCTGAAAGAACAAAAAAAGGAGTTTTCTTATCCCTTTGCTTGCTTAAGTCAGAGCAGTCTTAGAGGTGGTCTGATTGATAGTGGCTCAACAGCCTCATGGGCCAGTGTTTCTCTCTCATGCTTAAGATAGTCATGTTTCACCTGGAAGATTACTAGCTGCTCCCTATTAAAGAAGGCATGTATCAGTCAGACCACAAAAATATCTGGCTTGGCTTTTACAGGTATCAATCAACACAAACCTTAGGAACACACTGATCAGGTAACAGAACCTTCACTAATAACAGGCCAGGAGAATTGATTTCTTTTTACTTACATTGTTCACCTAAAAGTTGGGTGCTCTTGAACACAGGTCTGTACTTCTCTTAAAGCCCAAGCCAGGGATAGGATAATCACAGGACTTATTATATGGAGGGAAAAAAAAATTGGACCTGAGCCATCTGGTCCAAAAGGGGCAGCTCCCACAACAGGTTATCATCTGCAATTGCAGCTTCCTGAGAAGCTTACTCTCACTCTACAACCATAGGAAACAGCAGAACAACCAAAGGGCCAAAATGCAGTTGGAAGCAAAGAAAATATTGATAAAATATTCTGAACCTGTGCTTCTTCCAGTATTTACACAATGAAAACATGTGGCATCCTCTAAGATCACCAAAAGCACCAGTTTCCATTAACTGGCCTGATGGTATTACTTGCAGTACTAAAATAAAAAACACAAGCCAGGATGAATTACTATAGTACCATTGCTCAGGTGTTTTAAAAAAAGAAATAAAGATCACCAGCTGAAAAATTTTACTAATTTCATATGTAGCAGCTAACTTACTACATGAAAAAAGCAAATGAGTCTACATATTCATAGAAGCCATTTCTAGCAGCTCATCTTTCAGTCATTAGCAGTTGCAAGGTACTTTTTTCCTATCTTTCCAAAATTATTTCTCTCCATACAGGAAAAAAAAAAAAAAAAAGGCAGTTCAGATCTTTTTGGTTTTCAGTTCTCAGCAGGCTGAGAGGCCTTTTCCTGTGGCACAAAATACAGAAAGAATTTTTAGTCCTAAAGTTCACCCTCTGGAAAATTCTACAAACATTTTTCAATAATAACAGGGTAGAAATGCCTATAAATTTTATTCTATGAAAATATAGTTACAAGAAGAATAATTAAGAACAAATTCATTTTGGGCAGAATTAATCTATATTGTAATTATTCTCTAGAAATCGTATATAAGAAGAAAATACTTTTTTTCTTTCCGCTTTTCTCATTTGTGAAAAGCAGCTTCATTATAAATTACTCAGAAACACCTCATGAAAGTTCATTTTAAAAAATTTAACCACAGTGTAACTGCTATTACTTAAACAGCCAGACCACCTAAGAGGACACCAATATTTCAACAACTAACTAAAAGCTGGGAAGTAACATAACACCTGTGAACCTTACAGAATAGCGAAAGTGTAGTGGAAATTACATGTTTCTTAAATCTCAATACTCAGTTACAAGGTGGACAGTTACTTTTTAAATAGTTTTTGACACTTTTTTAGCATTTTAAATGTTCACTGTACAGATTCATTTGATGTTGGCAAACACTCAACAATTCTACCTATGCCAACAAACAGGCATCAAGAAAGTGATGAGCACAACATTTAAGCAGACTGATAACTGTGTAGCCTGTCCAGTGTTAGGTTCCCTGAAAGAACATCCAAGGAAGCAATCTAGTTTTCTGGTAAACAATATTTGTTCAGCTGCCTTAGCAAGGGACAGCGTTCTCCTCTTTGCAGAATTCTGTCTCATTCACTCAGCTTCCAGTTGTATGACACAGGCATCATATGTTCCAGACAGTAACAGCCTTCACCATACAACCCAAATTCACCTTTAGGACAGGCTTCAACCACAGATACTGTAGGTAAAACAGTGTCTATTGGGCATTATAGTCTGTATAATACTGTATACACACAAGGCAGCCAGAGAAATCACAGAATCGTCTAGGTTGGAAAAGACCTTGAAGATCATCCAGTACAACCATCAACCCAACATTAACAGTTCCCAACTCCACCAGATCCCTCAGTGCTATGTTGACCCGACTCTTAAACCCCTCCAGGGATGGAGACTCCACCCCTGCCCTGGGCAGCCCATTCCAACCCCCAACAACCCCTTCTGGAAAGAAATGCTTCCTAAGAGCCAGTCTGACCCTGCCCTGGTGCAGCTTGAGGCAATTCCCTCTTATCATATCACTTGTTCCTTGGTTCAAGACACTCATCCCCAGGTCTCTGCACCCTCCTTTCAGGTAGCTGTAGAGGGCGATGAGGTCTCCCCTCAGCCTCCTCTTCTCCAGACTAAACACCCCCAGTTCCCTCAGCCGTTCCCCGTACGACCTGTGCTCCAGACCCTGCACCAGCTCTGTTGCCCTTCTCTGGACACGCTCGACTCATTCAATGTCCTTTTTGTAGTGAGGGGCCCAAAACTGAACCCAGTCATCGAGGTGCGGCCTCACCAGTGCCGAGTACAGGGGCAAGATCCTTTCCCCGTCCCTGCTGGCCACGCTATTGCTGACACAAGCCAGGATGCCATTGGCCTTCTTGGCCACCTGGGCACACAGCTGGCTCCTGTTCAGCCAGCTGTCAATCAGCACCCAAGGTCCCTCTCTGACTGGCAGCTCTCCAGCCACTCCTCCCCAAGCCTGTAGCGCTGCTGGGGGTAGTTGTGGCCCAAGGACAGCCCCCGGCATTTGGCCTTATGGAAACTCCTCCAGTTGGGCTCAGCCCATGGCTCCAGCCTGTCCAGGTCTCTCTGCAGAGCCTCCCTGCCCTCGAGCAGATCAACACTCCCACCCAACTGGGTGTCATCTGCAAACTGACTGAGGGTGCACTCGATCCCCTCGTCTAGATCATCAATAAAGATGTTAAAAAGGAGTGGCCCCAACACCGAGCATTGGGGGACACCACTTGTGACCAGCCACCAACTGGATTTAACTCCGTTCACCACAACGCCTCAGGCCCAGCCATCCAGTCATTTTTTTACCCAGCAAAGCGTGTGCCCATCCAAGCCCCGAGCAGCCAGTTTCACCAGGAGAATGTTGTGGGAAATGGTGTAAAAGGCTTTACTAAAGTCAAAGTAAACAACATCCAGAGCCTCTCCCTCATCCAATAAGAGGGTCACCCTGTCATTTCTGGCACTCTAGATTTTGAGTACTGAACTTTCTAATGTTACTCTTGTATTCCTTCAATTTTCAAGAATGGCAAGCTTAACAACTCGGGTTTCTTATTAAAAATCCTAATTTTCTTCCACTCTGACAAATATTTTTCTCTTTTCCTTCTGTATTATGTGCACAACAGTTCTTAGCACTGGATTCTTTCTCTCACTTATCCTCATGGTGGTATTCTCCATATAGACATTTTCACTAGTTCCCCATCTTACCTTCCCAATTTGTTTTCTTGTTAGTAAGCCCAGCCCACTATTTATCATAATCTTTCACTCTTTCCATGGGGGATATTTACTTTGTGTGATGTAAATAACATTTTTGACAATATCACAGCATGGTTGATGTCGTAAGGGACCTCTGAAGGCCATCTGGTCCAGCCCCCCTGTTCAACCAGGGCCACCTGGCCAGTTGCCCAGGACTGTGTCCAGATGGATTTTGAGTATCATCAAGGAGAGAGACTCCACCACTTCCCTGGGCAACCTGTGCCAGTGATTGGTCACCCTCACCGTGAAAAAGTGTTTCCTGATGTTCAGAGGGAATCTCCTGTGCTTCAGTGTGTGCACACTGCCTCTTGTTCTATCACTAGGCACACTGAAAAGAGCCTGGCTCCATTACATTCTCCCTTCAGGTATTTATATACATTGATGAGATCCCCCTGACCCTTCTCTTCTCCAGACTGCAGTCCCAGCTCTCTGAGGCTTTCCTCATAGCAGAGATGCTTCAATCTCTTAATCACCCTGATGGCCCTTTTTTGGACTCTCTCCAGTATGTCCATGCCTCTCTAGTACTGGGGAGCTCAGAACTGGTCCCAGCACCCCAGCTATGGCCTCACCAGTGCTGAATAGAGAAGGATCACCTCCTGCAACCTACTGGCAACATCCCTCCTAACACAGCCTGGGACACCGTTGGCTTTTGCAGCAAGGGTATGTTGCTGGCTCATGTTGAACTTGCTATCCACTATTAACTCCAGGTCCTTTTCTGCAAAGCAGATTTCCAGCTGGGCAGCACATACTGGTGCCTGCAGTTGCTCCTCCCCAGGTGCAGAACTTCAGTGCTTCCCTTTGTTGAACTGCATGAAGTTCCTGTCAGCACATTTCTCCAGCCTGCTGAGGTCCCTCTGGATGACAGCACACCCATCTGGTGTACCAACCATTCCTCCCAGTTTTGCACCATCAGCCACCATCAGCAAATTTGTTGAGGGTACACTCTGCCCCATCATCCAGACCATTAACAAAGACGTTGAACAGGACTGGACCCAGTATTGACGCTTGGGGTACTTCGCTATTCCCCTTCAACCAGATTTTGTCCCACTGATCACCTCTCTCTGGGCCTGAGATTGAACTGACATTCAGTCAGTTTTCAAACTACATCCCTGTCTGCTTCCTAGGAAGCAGACAAAGGACTCAACTCTACTTTTGCTGCAACAGCAAAACTTCTAAAACAGCTATTTAGATACAAATTCAACCAAGTTCACTTCTCAAACACAGATACTGAAACACAGAAAACCAATTCTAAGATCTTTTATATCTGGAAAAAGTCTACTAACTTCTGTGTTATGGCTGACTTCAAGCTAGGAAAATTAAAGTCTGAATTGGGCATATGACTTCTAAGGCTGTAGCATTTTCAACATACAAGACTTCAAACCTATACTTCTGGAAAGAATTAATACACAAAAAATATTCAAGGCAATAAGCTCTAAAGAGCTGTGAAAAAACACTGAAAACAAATTCAAACATTATTTGGATAGAACTAATAGTCAATAAAAAACTTGCGGTGTCATAGAGGTGTGTACTTACAGTAAAATCCAGAGTATGTCTCCCTATGCTCAAGATCAATACACAGCATATTAACTCGTATAATAATGCAATTAGACAAGTTGCATAAAGCAAGAAATTGACTTTATTTGGGGAGAAGGGAGAATGGAAATTGTGTAACCATATTTTTCAGAAAGCAATATAATCTGGTTTATTTTTAACCAGTACACTCAGATTCAACTGCACACACAGAAATTTGCTTGAGGAACAAATATCTGGGTAATACTGTTAAGTACTGAGATAGCTACAGGATTAAAAAAAGATCTTACCTGTTTTGAACACACCAAGGAAGCCATAACACATAGATGTGGTGTCAAAAAGAGTTTTAGTCTCATGATTAAAATTGCTAGGACGCTGTATGCCAACAGCTGCAATGCATGGTATACCAGCTGCAAAGAAAAACCAAAAACCAAACCATACAGGAGCATAACATTTTCATACTTTTCATCTGTCTTAAAAATACAACTTCATTTTCAGTATAGCTTAAATAATGAGCTTGTCTGAAAGACTAGGTCAAACTAAAGATCCTCATATTTCACATAGCGATAAGGACATTGTTATCTTTTTTCTAAAGTTTATGTAGTATGCTATGGTATGAAACAACAGGAAGGATAAACAACAAAACCAAAAGGAGCTGGAGAAAAGGCTAGTTACACAAAAGATCCTGAAACAAACAGGCAATAACATATGTAAAATTTCTTGTATAACCTCTTTATAGATGTAAAGAGATCTTGCTCTTTAATACCTAAAATACCTAAGTATGGAATGAAAGAAAAAGATAAAATCATCCTTGGTACTCATACAACCACAGACAGCTTGCTTTAGCATTCTCAGAAAACGTTCAAAAGCATCAGAGATGTCACACACCACTCCTAACACTGAACTGTGTTACTTGCAGAAGTGCTGCGTGCAGAAGTGCAGAAGTGCAGAGGCACTTTTGCAATCGGTGCTTTTATCTAACTGGTTGATTACCATATTTCTAATGGCATGAGATTTCTCTCATAGCACAAACCACAAATAAACTTGTGTTAAGAAAGTTTTGCACCATCTTTGTTTACTTAATTGCAAATAAAGAAACCACGTAAGAAATCTGTCTTTCAATTATATTTCATAGAATCATAGAATAGTTTGTGTTGGAAGGGATCTTTGAAGGTCCCCTAGTCCAACGCCCTCTTGCAATGAGCAGGGACATCTCCAACCTAGATCAGGTTGCTCAGAGCTCGATCCAACCTGGCCTTGAATGTTTTCAGGGGTGGGGCATCTACCACCTCTCTGGGCACCTGTTGCAGTGTTTCACCACCCTCATTGTAAAAATTTTCTTCCATATTATAGCTAGTCCAAATCTACCCTATTTTAGTTTAAAACCATTATCCCTTGTCCTAACACAACAGGCCCTAGTAAAAAAAGTTTGTCCCCTTCTTTCTTATAGGCCCTCTTTAAGTACTGGAAGGCTGCTACCAGATCTCTCTGGAGCCTTCTCTAGACTGAACAACCCCATCTCTCTCAACCTTCCTGCACAGGAGAGGTGCTCCAGCCCCGATCATCTTCATGGCTTCCTCTGGATCTGCTCTGACAGGTCCATGTCTTTTCTGTGCTGAGGGCTCCAGAGCTGGATGCAGTATATTTTTCTTGAATATTTTTATTGAAAGAATAATGTGTAGAATTATTTTCATTATGGCATATTTCAAACCAGAATTTTAACACTATCAGTCACATGAAACTCCAGTAAAGGAACCATCACCTTTACAGTCTATATGGGGAAAATGGTTTAGGTCCAGCCTAATTTCAGAGTCTTTCTGCACTGCTACAGCAAAAGCCCAAGACTCCTCTCTTGCACTGCCACCCCACCATTAGCTAGCTTATTTTTTTGTACAACACCCCAGAGTTATTCTGGTGACATACCAGACCCAATTTAAGACAAGGGAATAAAAAAATGTAACTACTTATCTTCAAATAAACCACATACCAGCAGACCATTGCAATCTGTATTTTAATACTGAGTATTTGCATTAACATAGGAATAGAATTGTGCAGAAAAAGAATCTTACCTCACCATGGTTAAAACGTTCCTCTCTGAATAAAAAACAGAAAATCAGATTATTTGTTTATGTACTACAGAAGCATTGGTTTTACTTTAGTCATCTATAGTGGCTCTAGATAACTGAATTAATCCAGTAAGCATGAGTTAGAGTCTGCACAGATTTTTTTCCCCTCTATAACAAGCTTTGAAATATACTGCAAATGAGTAACTATCCTCCTTAATCCCTGTATTTATTTGGAAATATGAAAATTAATTTTAGCACTTTTTTAATTACTTCCCAGAATTAGTTCATATATAGAACAGCTTATTTAGAAAATGAAACCTCAGTAATGTAAAAGAGGCAGAGCACTGGTACCAAAAGAAGTCAGTCATTTACTCAGGTACTACATAGATTTGTTCTGGATTCTCAGGAGGAAATACAAATGTGAAAAAAAGTCAAAATCATGTACACTTGTTCTCCAAAACATCTGTGAGGACAGGATGCTGAATCCTGCTTGCATCTGGTGAAACTTTGATAATGGCCATTAGACTGTGAAAAGCAGAGATCACTGAAATGGTTAGTGATAAAGTAAAAAAAAAAAAAAAAAAAAGGCAGCAAAAAGATGTGTCAGGGAAATTACAATATTCCATTGGACAAATTGACTGCTCTCGAGCATAGCATCAACAAGTGATGCTAAATGCCTGTGACAGGTAGTCCATGCATTATAGATATTTAGGAAATAAAATTAATACAATTGGGATCTCCTCTTAAAAGGTGAAACTCAGGTATCTTTATAACCTAAACAAAAAAAAGGAGGAAGGAATTTGCATTCACTATTTATAGGAGAAAAGTGAATAAGGCACATTAATTATTTGTTTTTCAGCTCTGTTCCTAAACCAATATTTATTTAATTGAAAATTTGGGAGCAAGAGGGTTACAATGTCTAAAACTAAGTTCAGCAGCTAAACTTACTTTTAAACATCTTATAAAAATACCACAGAGTATGTCCAGGCCATTCAGTTACTGAACTACAGAAAATTTACCCTTCAAACAGGACCTACATAATGTAGAATTTTGATTTAGCATATAACAAACAAAATTTAATTCCAGCAGAAAATTCAGTTTTACATTAAAAAGATGATGTTTACCTTTCATATTGGCCCGTCTGAGATAAGATCCACATAAGATATTTAATTGCCTGAAGGAACCAAGAGCCAACAAAAAGTATGAATAAACTTTCAAAAGCATTCTAAAGCACTTTCAACATTTGCTAAATTAAATTACACCTGGGTAATCTCATTTTGAGATAATGCTAAGATAAAAGACATGCAATGTTTCCGCTAAAAATTCTTTTTGAGGATGTTTAATTAGCCAGGCAGTTAGCAGTTACCCATCTGTTCCTGTGTAAACTGTAAGTTGTTTTTACACAAATTATACATAATCAAATTTACAAAAACAGTCATAAACTTCAGTTATAGTACTCATCAGCTAAGTGACAGAATTTTTTTTGGCACTTAGCGGCAAAGCAGGTTTTACCAGTAACTCAGGACTGGACCTTTGCAAAAATCTATGTAAAGAGAATACAGAATTTTAAGCAAATATTTTTGAAAACCTTTATTTTATCTAACTGTATTTGGTTTACACAGCAAGGTTTTGGTAGCAGGGGGCGCTGTAGGGGTGGCTTCTGTGAGAAGAGACAGAGCCAGTTCCACTCAGCTACAAAACAGATCTACCACTGCTCAAAGCTGAGCCCATCTGTGATGCTGGTGGTGCCTCTGTTGATAACATGTTTAAGTAAAAACCACTGTGCAGCAGCTTTGAGAGCAGTGAGAAAAATGGGAGAGAAGCAATGCTGAAGACACCAAGGTCAGTGAAGGCAGGGGAGAATGTGTTACAGGCACCAGAGCAGAAATCCCCTACAGTTTGTGGAGAAGACCCTGGTGATGTAGGTTTTCCCCCTATGGCCCATAGAGGACTATGGTGGAGCAGCTGTCCACCCTGCAGCCTGTAGAGGACACCATGCCAGAGCAAGTGGATGTGCCCTGAAAGAAGATGCAAGCCATGAAGTGCCCACAGAGGAGCAGGGTCCTGGCAGGACCTGTAGCTCATGGAGAGGAGGTCATGCTGGAGCAGGTTTGCTGGCAGAAGCTGTGACCTGTGGGGCACCCATGCTGGAGCAGTCTCTTCCTGAAGGACTGCACCCTGGGGAAATTACTCATGCCTGAGCAGTTCTTTATGAACTGCAGCCCATGGGAAAGACCCATTGAGCCTGGGAGAAAGGAGGTGGGGATAAGAGAAAGGTGGTTTTAGTTTTGTTTCTCATAATCCTACTCTATTTTTAATTGACAATAAATTAATCTTCCCCAATTCAAGTCTGTTTTGTTCATGACAGAAAATCGGTGGGTGATCTCCTTGTCCTTATCTTGACCCATGAGATTTTTCAACTCTTTTTCCCCCCTGTCCTGCTGAGGATGGGGAATGAGAGCAGGTGGTGGGCACCTAGCAGTCAGCCAAGATTAATCCACACTAAATTCTTCCCATCTCAAAATAAATAGCGATCCCTTCAAAAAAACCTAAAAAGTAAATTCATGGTAAAGGTGACTCATTAAATCAATCACTTACCCTTTTGATGATTACCCCAAAAACCACCAGAACAACTGGTAATAGCAGAGTCTTTGTGTATCTTACTGGAGTCTACAATGGAAATAAACTACATTAATTGCTTTCCATTCACCTACAATTACTTCAATAGTCATTTCAAAAACAACCATATAAAGACTTCTTCCTCGAATAAAGTGTAAATTTAAATATTCAACAAGAACCAAGCAAGCTTAAAGAAACTCAAATTTAAACTCCACCCAGCAATCACACTAGGGGACATTAGTAGATTATTCCCAGTTCTTTGGCAAGACACCCAAAGACTAAAAGTAGATTGTATCTCATCTGAATTTGAGCACTATAGGTTGAGCAACCTATAAACTTTCTAAATACATATCTACTGATGAACTAAAAAGAATCTACTAATGCCACATTAAGAAGCTTCAATGCTCTTCTGCAGTCTAAATCTACCACACTGAACTTTTGCAGCTCTCAGTACATTTTCCACATACTCAAAACCAGTTACTGACAGACATAAAATCTTAACTTCACACTGTAACCTTTCATTTACCCCTGAGCAAGCACTTCTTTCATTCAAGCAAGCACATTCCTTAGATCCAAAATCGAAACACTGTTTTGGTCTTAGTTCATTTAAAAGCAGTAAAACCAGTTAAATTTAGCTTAAGGTCATTAGTGTCTCTAACTTCACAAGTAAGCACTTTAACTTAATATGACAGTAGAAGGTTATGGCTCACGGATGTTTTAAGTTATCAATTAAGATAAAACAAGAAGTTCCCTCTTCCATAATCATCTATTTTGATCAAATTACCTCTTTTTCCATGAAGTCAAACTCTGCAGCACAGGTATACATTAATGTATCAAAATCCTTGTAGCCAATAAATTTAGATTTTAAAATATTTCCAATATGAGCCTGGAAGGATATACAGGGGAAAAAAAGCTGTAGTAAGCAAAAACTGTCCTGTTTTCCACAAAGTAGTTTAAATGTATATGAAAAATATTTTTAATTAGAACATAAGTTTTATAATTTACAGTATTTTTATAAGAGCACAAAAAATCTCTTTCGAGTATATTAAATGACATCTTCAAGTTCAACTCAGATTAGACTGTGTTAAATAAAAAGCAGAAAGTGGCAGAGAAAGAGATGTTACCATTTCAACTGGGTTCAACGAGAGTATAGTTTTGCATACTCATATTTTAATAGATGAGCTTCCTGTCTTTTGCCCCAATGAACATCTGCAGATTGCTTTTTAAGAGTTTAATCTGACACTAAAGGGGCTGAAGTGAAGAATCCTATTTACAAGAAGCATTTCAAAACTGTCTTAAAAATGAGCTTCTGAGGAAAGTAAACTAAGAAACTGAGTAAATAAAGATATAGGTAGAAGATATCAAAAATAAACAAAGCTCTATACATCCACATTTAAAAAGAAACACACAGAGCATTTACTAACTCATAACAAAAACATATGTGTTTTTCACAGACTTTGATAGTAACACCTCAAATATACCAAATATATAGTAATACATCAGGAATGAGGAAGCAAATATGCAATCTCTCTCCCATTTCTGCAACACAAATCTTAGAATTTCCAGAAAGTACATCAGTAAGATGCAAAAATCAAATACTAAGGATTAAAAAGTTTTTGAAAGACACAAACCAGATACTCAGATAAGAGGACTTACATCATCAGCTATTCCAAGTACCAAAGAAGTTAGGTATTTCAAGGTAACTGTCCCAAATAACCAGGCACATCCTTCAATGACCTTAAAAAAACATATTCAGAATGAAATAAACATGTCTCAACAAACTTTTAAAGAAACCTTTTCTTTTTTAAAAGGCTTATTAAATTTAGCTACTAGTTACAAACTCTCCTATGTTGTTACCAATAAGTAATTTCTAACCAATTACACTTCCCAAATTTTAGTACACTGGGGTATTTTCGATTTTTTTGGTATTTTCTATTACAGCTGAAATAATTTTGTGCAACTGATTTAGATTACAGCTGTACAGCTGCACACAACATAGTAGTAGGAGAGGTACCAAAGGTAACTTTCAACAGGGGCAGCCTGTCAGTTCCATCTGTTTTGCATACGCCACTGTGTAGTGATTATTTCCCAACAATAGCCTCTTCCTAATACCAGGTTGTACTACTCTGGTAATTCAAATATTCGGAGGAATTTGCGGATTTATTGTACCTTCTTAAGATAATCTCAAGTTAGAACTTGAAGGAAATATAAAGAAAGTATGCACAATTACTACTTTTAGTTACGTATCATTTTTATCCCTGTACAAGAAATATTGAATTATTGGCAATCCAGCTTCATCTACACAATTTATAAAACTGGATCAAACTGAATAGGACAACCTGGCTCAGTATCTTGTATCTGGGACCAGCAGCAGATGCTTTCAGAGAGAATGCAACAACAAAATACAAACTGATCTTTACCCTAATGTAACCAGAGTTTTTATATGACAATGGGTTGCATTCAATCATTCCATTTCATGGCTGCAAACGAACCTAAATACCTAGAAGGTACCTAACCCATTTCTGAATTACTCTTTTTTTTTTTTTACTTCCACAGTATCTTTCTTCTCTCCTCTAAGTTTATTGCCACTAGAATAAGGGGCACTAAATAAACTATAATTATATCCTACTTCTATTCACTGGCTTTGTCATATTTACCTTGATTTACAACATGTAGAATTCTAACCTATGTTAAAGTATCAGCTATTTAGTGATTCTACATTAAAAATTCTATATACTCTCTACTTAAATCTGATGGTAGTACATTTAGGGGCAAGGTATTTTTTTTAATTTTTTTAAGACACCGACTGAGATTACATGCAATATTTAGGATGCTAAATAGGAGTTTACAAAATAAAAACGTATTTTCTGCTTTCTCTGAAGTTCCTTCTCCTTTATTTCATCATGTATTTTCCTTTTTTGATGCCTGTTCAGTATTGAATTGATGTGTTCAGAGGACTTTTCAGAAAAATACTGAGATTTCTCTGCTGAGTGGCACGGATTTATTTAGGATCAATTATTTTATATCCATACTTAGGGGGTGGTGGTGGTCTTCTTCTGAAAACTTCCCATTTAATACCACCATTTGTTTCTTACCTTCTAACATTCACACCTTATCCCATGGAGATTATTTTCTTTTATAGTTCCAGTTAGATACCTTCCCCAAAAGGTTTCTGAAATCCAAGTGCATTACATTCACCCACACACCCTTATCTACATCCTTCAAAGAAGTGGAAGACATTTGCAAGGGATGACTTCCTTTCACATAGGCTTTCTTGGACCTATCTCATTATGTTGCATGTACACATAGCCTTAGTAACTTTATCACTGTTCAAGTTTTTATTCTTTTACAAAAGTTAGACTTACTGGTCTGCAGTTTCACAAACGCCTTCGATCTCCTTTTTAAAAACTGACATGAGATTTGCCTGCACTCCCATATTCCCTGGTACCACAGCTAACTACATTAGCAGGTTACGCACGCAATACAATTTGTTATAAATATATATTTTTAATGCCCTTATATTCTAATTTCTTTATAATAACTGTATGAATTCTATCCAGTTTTGCTAACAGGTTACCCTTCATTTAAAAAGAATGCCTGTCTTAAACCAGGCATAGTCTCAACAGGCTCCCATTTCAGGTGTTTTTAGAAGTTAATGTTATGTCCTAAGCAGTAAGTTGCTTCTCACGTTTTCTACAGTGTTTTATATTATTTGTCATAGTTTTGGGAGCATCCTCCATATTTGGACATGACTTCTACTGCCCTCAAACCCCACCCACACACCCTACACTGTTTTACTGACTTGCTTCCTTATGTAATTACAAGTTGCTTACTGTTATTAAAAATATCCTTAAAAAAAATATATAGGACACATTTTAGGGAATATCTAGTGCAGTATCTTAATCTTCATTTCTGCAAAAACTATTAGCCTTTTACTTGCCTTTTCTAAATCATCCTTTATTTTAAAGGGATGTTCATATAGATCTTAGGTTTTCTACATATGTTTAAGTTGGTAATTTAAAATGAAATGCCATTTGAAGGTTATTTCAGTTTTCTGATATAAATGTGTGTATATGCCCTTTTTCTTCCTTCAGTAGTTTAAAATTAATTTCTAGGAATATGGACAATATATTAAAGACAGTAGTTCAGCTACATTTTTCATTTCCAATAGCTGAAAATCATAAGTTATTTCTGTATTTTACTAAAACAAAAAGCAAAGTCAGAGTTCTTTTCTGAAAATCAAAATATATGAAATTCCTTACCCATATATAGATTTCTCTTCTGCCACTTTTCAAGACTTTTGGACTCAATTCAAGAATTCCCTAATAACAAAATGAATGGACATTTTCAGGTAACATATAGTAACAAGATATTCCAGTACCCTGAGTAAGGCTTTTTTTGTTTGTTTTGGTAAGCACATATTGTACCACATAGATATTTATTAAAAGCCCCTCCATAATTAATACAACCTGAAATATGAATATATAACATTGTGATTTTACCCTGCACCAGCAAAACATGCCAACATAAAAATTACTGCAGTTTATATACATTAAATAGAAGACTACTCTTCTCCTTAACAAGTAAGATTCTGTATTATACAGTTCTCTAAGCTTCTTTATGTCACAGCCAGTGGGAAACTGAACTATGTCTGCTTCCACAAATGACAAGAGAAGAAATAAATAAATAAATTACTGGCAGCACAATACAAACAATTTTCAAACAAGGCAAGGATATGGGTGGTGGGAAGATTTACTCATGTTTTACTATTTCACGTTATGTTCTTCATTTTATGACAGAAGGAAGACTAATTTTAAGCTAATTTGATAAAAACTGTAATTAAGAAAAACTGAGAATTAACTTAAAAGTTTTCAGAAATCCAGACCATATGCGAGACTGAGGCCACAAATAGATGAGAAACAATAAATATTCATTCCAAAGCAGAAAACAGGCAAGAAACTCAATGTACCTGTACTTACTATATAAGCGCAAAAGCTGCTACAAAAACTAGAGTGGGTTTATAATAAGCAGACTATACTACCATCAAATACCAATAGCCAAGGCAGCTTACTGCTAGCATCAGTGAGAAACTACCACTTTTTTGCTGATGGACAAAATATAAACAAAACGGGGGGGGGGAAAATCACTGAACTCAGCCCAAGCTTCTAGGAGAGACAAAAAGAATCAGAAATGGAGATGATTTATAGCATGCTAAACTTAGATCTGTTCACACAATCTGATGTCCTATTTCTGCCGTACATAAATCCCTTAAGAGAAACTATATGAAATTCAAAAAGTTGGCCATTGCTTTTCCTATTTAAAGAAAAATTAAAATAGTGAATGATGAGATGATGAGTCTTCAGTGAGTAATTTCACTAACATGGCAGCATGACTCAGCAGCTTCAAACAGTCTTAAACCATTGTCATGTATGTTTTAGACATTTGTTCTGCATTTGCGGTTTCACAATCAATAAAGAAGCATTTAAAACAAACTCCTTCTTGCTCATGTTCTTGTTCTACATTTAGTCTGGTCAAAAATACATACGTGGTAAATTTTATACTTTTATGAAAAGAAGAAAGCTATGAAAACAAGAGAACTGAGCCTTAAATGAATTTCTCTTACAAAGAGGTCTTGGTGTAAAAATACAATTTTTTAAATTAGTATGTACCCATTCTCCAGATATCTTTAAGATCTCATTCTCTTTGTCATGTGAAAGATAACTAGCTGAAAATGCTGCAGTTTCACATTTTAAATCAATACATAAATAACAGTACAGCATTACACTCTTAGCATATGATTTTTTCTTAAACTTACCCAGATAACTACTAAAGATGCAGCATAATACGATGTCAACAACATTGAATTACCAAACATCAGAATAAAACACACTACAAGAGATACCTGAAAGAAGAAAATAAAATTAAATTTAAAATAGAGAAGGTAAGAATTGCCCAAGTATAGAAATTACCTTGTGTCACCAGCTTTAAAGACACCTACTTCACAGCAAGTGCAAGCTCGATACTCAAGCTTACAGACTTGTTCTGCAAACAGTGATTATAAAGACTTAATGGCAACAGGTAGACAAGTTTATATTATGTTAATTTGTATTTTAAAACCACTTATAGACAAAAAGATTTTATCATAGGACTAACTCATGTGATACAGCAGCTATATTTTTTAAGTTATTCCTACCGCATTCATTTTTTTTCAAATTAATGTATTATTTCTCCATCCTGTTTGTTATCTTTCAGAATCCTAGGCAAACAAAAATGTTGAATACAATGTTTGTTGTCTCTTTCTTCCAAACTGAGAACCATCTATTTAAAATATAATCATCACCAAACCAAAGTCAAGGAAGCAGAACTGTGACTGATCATACACACTTAACGAAATGATGTTGAAAGTCAAGGCTGAAATACAACTTTTATCTACCATCCTGATCTCCTACTGTGCTTTCTTTTTAATAGCAACAAGCTGAATTTTCTAACTTGGAGAGCAAAATCAATGATCAATCACTGTCTTCTATACCCAACAATAAAGAAAAATAGTGTAGCTATTTGTAAATTATGCAGACTTTTCTACTCACCTCCTCACATAGACTTTCATTTTCCACAGAAAAGTGGCAGGGAGCAAAAATTGAAAACACCACAAAACAAAGATTGGCAGTTTACCCAGCATCATTAAGCTTTCTCTGTAATATAACATGATTGTTTATCTATCTGAAAATAGGGTTTTTACGACACTTTGGCACCAAAATTATGATATAGCTACTGACATAAACCAAAAGGCTTAAATATTTCACCCTGCTTCTGTCAAAAAATTACTAAAGCAAGATAAAATGTTTGTTTGCAAGTTTTACTGGTAAATCTGACTGGGAACAAGCATTTGGCATCCCAGGTTTATATCATAGATGCCTAGAACTTACTACTGCCCTTAAATTTATCATTTACATATTTCAAAATATGTTTGAAAACATATGAAATACAATTAAGCTCAAAGCTTCTTATCTTTGGTAAACATTCTCTTTTTCCCCACTGAGTTTGCATAGCACAATTTTAGCAAAAATATATTTTTAAAGACAACTGTATTTCTTCAAAAAAGTTGTTTACATCTTCCTGTATATTTCAAACTATAATCTTGCTTGAAATAGCAAAACTCCTGGTAGAAAAACTTGATTACTATCTTAACTTTAAAAATGAAAATCAGATATATTACAGAGAAACTTAAATGCCTTTTACTTATCTCCTTCCTTTGCTTTATCACCCGTTTTTGAGAAAATAGTTTTTCCTCAGCCTAATAGTTTATTTTCTTTGTCCTCCTTTCTAAATATCTCTCCAAATAGTTCAACTACAACATCTTTGCATGGTCAATACTACAGTTATCTTCAAAACCCAATTTTAGTCGGAGGAGCTCTCCTTCAAAGACAAAAGTCTATTCTCTAATTTTGACATACTAATATCTCACTATTTTGTTTCTGCTAATCTATGGCATGAGGTGACAGCTGACTTTTCAACTTTTTATTACTCATGCCCTATTACTTGTTTTCTAATCTGTTGAGACAGTATCTTCAAGTCCATGGAATGGAGACAGAAAGGAGAGGCAAGTACTTCTACAAATTCTTTAGGTTAATAATTTTTCTGGGGTTCAAGAATTCCTGTGCACCACAGGGATCCTAGTTTCTGACACTGTGACATCAATACACATAAGATCAAATATTTGAATCCAGGCTCCTCTGTCTGGTATTATTGCATCTTTTCAACAACCTTGCAACTAAGGAAAACACTTTAGACAAATGGCCTCCTTTGATGATCTGACTTGTTTGAGCAGATTCAATTTTTTTAAAAAAAGTATTACCATATGAGCAGAGAGTATCTTCTGTAATTTGCAGGAGTCAATATAACCCATAATACACACAGCAAATAGTGAAGCTATCTAGAATCAAAAATGAAAAGATAAATTAAAACAATTTGCAGTGGTGCACTCTTTCTAGCAGAATAAACATTCATACAAAAAGAGATTATTCAAACAATAATTAACTTTTATTGCTACTTTTTTGCTAAGCAAATACTTAGGCATTTCATAATGGTTTCTTTCAAAAAACCTACTGTGGTGCTCTGAATAACAACTATCAAGCATATTTAAATATTTAACAAAAATTTGAAAATACGCTGTATAAAAATGCAAGTCACCAAAACACAGCACTAACATATCATCTCTCACCCATAGATTTTAATAAAAATAACAAAACAAAACAAACCCATTCAGTAACATTATTTAACCTTAACTTTTCAGCAAAGTATGAGAACATCCATAGTTTGCTGCTAAGGAAAATGAGATTCTTTCATTAGACAGCTTGCTAAAAGTCACATGAGAAATTAATGAAATTACGAATTGAACCTTTTATTTCAAATTTCAGGCCCAGCATCTTAAACAGGTTATAGTGATGAGTTTCTCACAATATTTCACTGAATTTAATGGTTTCCTCTTCTGCAGTTAGAAAACTTGCATACCACAGCATAAATGATTGTTCAAAATTATCAACTCAAACCAAGTAATATCTGCTTCAAGTAAGACAGACAAGTGAAAAAGTACGGAGACATAGATGGATTTCAATCAACAGGCTACTTTTCAATCAATTTAAACACTAAGAAAGTGTGCTGTATGACAGTAGCCTACTGCTCACATGAGCATCTACTATATTTCAACACTAGCTAAAAGTTATTTCAACTGTCCAAACTCTCAGACAGTAAGATTATGTCACTACTCACAGGCTCATCAAAATTAAATGGGAAATCATGCAAAACCATGCCAGATATTACATGCCATGCAAACATTGCTCCATTTAAAAATTTGGAATAGCCTAAAAAGATGCAAGATCAATGTCTTTTTACTTCAATATACAAAGTTTTTTTCTTGTTCTGAGCTTGTTCTAATGTACTGAACTTAGGCTAGAGCCTGCTTTTAAGGGAAAAGTACATTTTTTAGTCCTGAAAACAGAATACTGAGTAGTGTAAATGGCCAACTTTAAAATTTAAGACTAGAAAAATATTGATGTGATAAATGGTGTGAATCTTTCCTGAGAGCAAGAGTGAAATCTGCTAAAAGGAAATAATCAGTATGATTGTGAATTCAGTAACTGTCTATACAAAGCAGTCAGTTTGCCTAGAAAAGACAAAGAGGCGAATATGGTCTTACCTGTGTTAGAAGAACAAACTGAGCAAACTGCCAGGGAAGCATGAAAAAGATATTAGAAACACACAGTGCAATCAAGCTTCCTGTATTAATATTCGGAATCCTTGGGAAAAAGAGACAGAATAGGCATCAGTAAGTAAAATTACACAGGTGTTTGCATATTATTGAAAAGTAAAATAGAAAATGCAATAAAAACAAAATTACCTCAGAAGTTAGCTAGCAATATCGATCAACTACAAATAACACTGCTCAAGTAAATTTAATATGTCTTTTCCACCAGTTTCCAAAAACAATAGTTCTGATGTTTAATGTGTCTTAACTATTTGAGGAGTCACTCATCACCAAACAAGTCTTCTCCTGGCAGCATGTAATATAGCAGGCCAACCTATGTCACGTGAAGTAGTCCACTTTGTTGCAACAACTCTACAGTCAGGTCACAACCATTTCCACTTCAGCTGGGATCACAACTATTCATGGAACAGTCTGCATTTGAAAGTGATTTCACTCCTCTTCCTCATATATCTTCCATATTTACTTTCTACAACTTTCTGCTAGTAATCCTGAGTGAGGTTTCAGGGCAGGAGACAATGACAAATACATGAAATTCATCTTTAACTAAAACCAGCCCATTCTCTATGTCCTGCTGTAAGTGTTATTTATTTAATCCTGTGTTAGCTTTGAGTTCACTTCAGAAAAATGTCATGTGCCAAATTTCATTAAGTGGCCTCCAACAGATGAAGACACCATAAATGTTCTGCTGAAAAACCCAAACCCAACCAATTACAGCCAACTCAAATTCTGTAAAATTTTCTTCAGCTTCTTTTACAAAGCCTCAAGATTAACTTCTATTCATGCTGAGCATAGGTCTAATGTATTAAGTAATATATTATACAAATGTGATAGAAATGATACAAATAATAGGAGAATTTAAGTTCTAGTCTCTGTTTCAAAGACAGTTCCTATATTTTATTGGAATATTGTTACACATAAAACAGAGTTGCTCTTGAAGCAGGAATTATAACTGAGAAACAGAAGTTCAAATGTTTTATCCCCTTTCTGGAACCTCGCTCTGAAATGCTTAAATACCTACTTCGCATAGGTAAGCAAGCCCAAGTACTATTTTATGTATCAAGGTTTGAAGAACAGTGGTGAATCTATCTAATCAAAAAGTGTCATAATTGTAGGTACAGAATATATGTGCTCTGATCACCCTAAAAGTGTTATTTCCTTGGTTTTTGTTTGACCTCACAATTTAGCATTAAATGGAACAGGTGTCTTTCTAATTTGAAATCTAGCAATCATTCTACAAACTTATGCCTCAAAATATTTTTCTAGACAGCTTGTATCTTTTCCTCACTTAAAAACCCCAAGTTAGTGACAAGCACAAAATATTTTTGGTGTAATCATCAATACTACAAATTAGTATGACCCAATAAAGGAAAATCTGTGGTTATAAGTACAAAGTTCAGCTAAGTCATAAATATACCGGAAATCTGATGCCACAGAGTTGGTGGAAAAGCCCTCAAGTAAAAACAATCAGGCTTATTTTTCAAAAGAGAGTCAAGACAGTAACATAATCATGTTGCAAGCCAGAAACAACCATGGTAAAGGAGGACTAATGAACTCAGGATCATCCCTGCATCAGTACAATTAGATTGCTCTAAATCATTGAACTAGTTAATTAGCCTTGTTAACTAGTTATAGAAGACTGCAAGAACATATTAGTTTAGGGTGCCTATAGCATCCTCTGTTGCAAAGCACAGGCTTATTCTAAGTGCAACCAATGTAGAGAGACAAAACCAATTGACAGAGTATCAACTTGTTTCTCATGGGAAGAAAGTGACATCAACCAAAAATTCTGATTTTTAGTTTAGGTACATATTTGCCAATACAGTAACTTGGATTCTTATTTTAAGCGTGTCTTCAAGTTGCAAAGTTTTTCCTTTTAATAAGTGAGCAATATACTGCAGTTCTACTGGTGCAGAGTCTGCAATGTAACAGTCACAGGAAAGTTTCTATGTTAATGATACCATTGCTATGGCACACAGAGGCACTTGAATAAATATTTAAACAAATGCATTTAAATAAATGTCCTGTGACATTCCATTTTTTAAATCACTGTGAAGACATAAGGATAAATTGAGAGGTACCTGAGAATATAGGTCAAAAGCAACATCTGAAGCACAAGGAATGGGTATGAGAAACTTTCACGAAGAGGTGGAGTCCACATCACACGAGTGCACTAAAAATAAGAACTGTGTTAGATGATAAAACTTGCTGCTACATTTCCATTAAACAATGCATTTGTATTTCAAAATGAATGACCACAGATACTTCAATGAAGCAAAAACCAAGCTACATGAGATTTTACTCACAAACTAAAAAAAAACAATCCAGGAAGCAGAAAAGAGGAAGAAAAAGAAAGTGGCTTCCAGACTTGAGATCTATGATGCACTGTTAATTAAAATAGATCACTGCTTTTCCAAAATGAAATGTGACAGCTAGAGAACATCCAAGAAAAAAAGCCAGGACAGCAGCTGCTTGTTCCTGCTTCTGCTGAGATTAACAACTCATTCAGGTTAACTACAACCATGCTCACACTCAGGCAGTGACTTGCCATACTTAGACGGAGAAAGTGTGTGGGGAGAGGATCTGAGGGATAAACCAACATTATGCTAGAGTTCTCTAGATTATAAACATTTCACATTTCTACTAGCGACAGCACTTAAGTATAAAACATAAAGCTGCCCTCCAAAACAGGCCAAGAAAATTGAATACACAAAATCAAGCACTTACATAGCTTATACTTACACTTACTTTGCTCTTTAACCCTAATAAAGCAAAGCATAATACAATGAAGTAAACTGAATATGTTTTTCATTAATTTCTTGGGGTTCATGGCAAATGGCTCAGCTATAACTGTCATCTCCAATGTTTATATTCAACTCTTTATAAAAAGTGCTTGCAGATAGCACTGGCCATCAAAAAAATAATTATAACTTTACAGGAAAACTCTGACATACAAAAAAAAATGTTTCAAAATGGCTATCAGTAGATTTGTACTAAAAATTAGAAGTAGGTTCTTTAAAACTACAGGACAAAACCACAGTTCATCTTAACATGGACCATAATGAATCTATGAAAGCTTATAGGATTTGGATGCTAGGATGTTCCTTCTCCACTTCCTATAATCTTAAAACCATTTTTTGAAATACTGTTTTACCAAAGAAGTCACTAGAATCAAATTTATACATCTCCTTGCTTATTGTCTTGCTATTTCACAAGTATTTTAGATTAATAGTGTAAAAATAAATGCAAAGTACAGAAGCCCATCCACATTAGTCAAACAGTCCTTGCTGTCTAAAAGCACTCTCTGTAAAAGCTGCACCCTAACTACCATTAAAACAAGCCCTTCATAAATATATGAATACTAATGTGTTGTCTTCAGCTGACTGCACAAATATGATTAAAGTATTTTTATTAGCAATAAATATAATCATGATTATTCTAAAGCTGTGTAGTCTGATTATTTTTCAAGACTATATCAACATTTGATTTACCAAATCTTTTGATACTAGAGAAGATAAAGACAGGAAAGAAATTATAAGCATATACAGCCATAAAAAGGAAGCATTACCTTAAAAGTGGATTGACTAATTTAAGCCCATGCTATTTTTCTATGTTTGGAATGTAATACCAAACTCAATCATCTGTGGAGGATTTATCAAGGCTGTAAATGAACTTTTGCTGCAGGTATAAATACATCAGATCTGTCTAACCTTGAAATCATTAAAACACAGTAGCACAAGCAAGTGCAAATAAAAACATACTGCTTTAGGATCATTAGCTCAGTGCCAGAAGGCTAACCACTTATACACAGCACTACATCTGAGATACCAACACTCTCAGATCAGGCTTACTCATGTAGCTCAGTCCTATGGCTCCAGAAAGGGTAAGCAAATTTTTAGTAACTGGTTTAGCTCCACTGTAAGTAGCGTTGAAGCACATGCAAGATGATTTCACACAATCAAAGGCCTATGAAAGAGTTAAATAGGTTTTTTTATACACATACGTGTATACACTCACTCCCGGAATGTGATTCACCAGTACACACAGTGAAACTAGACCACCTACATACATGTAGCTACATATATTACCATAACTATATACACAACAATATCACACAACTTTGAGTTATTTCATTACTCACAGTACAAATGCAAAGAGCCAGCTGAGATCTAACACTGCACCTCTGCAAGTCCTATTGCTCTCCAGAAATTCATACAGCTGAGCCTGAATCAGTCACCCTACTTGAGCTCTACCTAAGCCCAGACTACATCTGTGTAGAGCTAATGTAGACCTAATTTCATACCATTCTCCAAAATACACACATTATCTGTGTTTTTCCCCCAAGTCAAGTCATCCACAGAGAGAGACAAGCTCTCCTACAGAGTCTCCTATGGATAAGAGAACTGCCTGTGTCATAGCAAAATAAATGTTTCTTTTCATTATTGCTATCACTGTCTTTGAAGTTTTCAACTTGTTCCCTTCTGAAGTTACACTTTATCACCTTCACACTTGGCAAAACAGTGTGTACTCCAATCAGTATTTCCTAGCAAAGGATAAAACATTCCCTTCACTTCAGAATGCCATTAAGAACAGAAACCCACATATTCACCCTCTTAAAGCACAAAAAAAAGTTTAGAAACTAGTGTTTACCTGGTCTGGACCAGGCAGTTAACATCCATTAGTGAAAATTCTTCACAAAGGATATTTAGAGAAAAACATTTCAAATGCAACTTAAAAATAAAATAGCTATTTCATCACACCAATTTTGTTTTTGTAAGATAACTGTCAAAGCTCACTAAGCCTCTTTGATTGTTATGTGCAACTACATATGCTTCCTACTCTGAGTTTTCTATCAAGTTCAGCTCAGTAAAATAAGAAAACAAAACATAACTTTAACCCTTAACAAAATTGTAAGGTAGCTAGTTTCCATCTAGAAAATCTTCACAGTACAGCTGCATTTTAAGTAAATTAAACCAAACATTTATATACATAAAGTGAACATTAAAAAAAACCCAAAAACTCTGCCCAAGGGTATCAGAATGAAAGCCATGAGTTTTCTTCCAAAATATAACACAGTGACATGAATAGCATTAGTTGGGGATGCAGGGAGATGTTTTAAGTTACAGTTTCTTCTTTTTTTTTTTTTCCCCACCCTGTAATGCAGCTTACTAAATCCATCACTGGAATTCTCTATACACATATACAGTTTGTAAATTTTATGTATCCTGGCCATAGTATATCAGTACTACAGAGGTTTCTTTGCTTTTTTTTTTTTGGGGGGGGCTGTGTATTCATGAATTTCCAGTAAAATACATAGCAATCTGAAGAAAACCTCCTCCATTTCTGAAGCTTGTTCATATGGTACATATAGCTCGGTTATGTCTGGAATGGGCACAAAAATAGAATATTTTGATGTTTTGAAACTTGAGTCATTGTGCTACTAAGATTCCAATCTCAGGACCACTTTACAATGTATTTCCTTTCTGAATTATTATTTTTTTAACATATAAGGTGACACATTGGACTGTGCTATACATTTTCGAGTCATGGCCTATTTTGCTTTCAATAATGTCTTATTCCATTTAAATCCATCCTCTAATAGATAAGCAACATCGCTATCTTTGTTGAAATAAGAATTAGCTTAAACTTTAAAAAAAAAAAAAAAAGGGGAGAGGGGTGTGGTTGGGGAGGGAGACCTACCTCTCCATGGTTGAAAAAGAAACACATCACGGTAACAAGGCCTCCTAGACGACTCCCACTGTAAAAAAAACAGGAAAAATAGGTTCAACAGAATCTCATAACAGTCAATGCTGCTTCAAAAATGTGAAGCGGCACTTATGTACAGCTAAGTTGGGGAGTGTGGAGGGTGTGTTAAGAATGCTTTCAAGCATCAAAGGAAAACAATCTACACTGTACATACAATATTAAAATACTAGTTACTCAGCTAATATTTTTTCCAGAGCAGACTACTCTTCATATATCAGCTGTTTACTGCAGAAGACCAATTTTAACTTAAATAATTTGGAAAGCAGTTATTCCACTCCTCACAAACCTTGGTTTAGATCATTACATCTGCTGCTTCATCTGCTATACCCAGAGCTTGGTCTTGAAAAGTGCCAAACCTTTTTTTTCTTCCCTAAACACCAGGCAATATAAATGGACTATTTCTTCCCTAAGATGTTGAGCATAAAACTTTGAATTTGCATGCTAAACTGCCCAACAGGGAATTTTCATCTGAATCTAGGACTATCTTAGAGTAATCAAATCAAGCAAGTTCAAAAAATGTATTTAGAAATGAATTAGTGACATGGTCAATGCAAGACACAATTTAATTCTTATGTGCAATACTGTGATGTTAACATGAGAGTTTTTCAAGCCCTTGACTTAAGGAATTTTACACATTTCTAAACCAATCAAATTCACCTGTTGAATAATTAGCACCATGGAGTCAACATTGAAAGCAAAGATATTACTTAGATTTATCCCCTCTCAAAACAGCAATATATAAGGTTCCTATGTTTGATTAGAGTTGTAATTACTCATCCTGTGATATAAAGCAAAGAACACCTTTTGTGCACACAAGCGCACTACTACTATGAATGACAGAATATACAATTTTTTTCTAATAAACAAAAGAATCAGCCAGCTGTTGAGATTCTTTAAAAAAAGTAAAACAAACCTCAGATCCTCTCAGGTCCTTCATCCATCACTAATATACAAGTCAAACAGAATGAGTGAGTTCTATGTACACAATCTGAGGATTACAGGTATCAACTAAGTGCTAAAACAATCTCCAGGAATTGTGTATTCTCTCACATAAAACTCAACCTTTCATTCCATAAATTCTAAAAGCATCAACACTGACACCCAAAATAGCTAAAATATGTGCTTAATATTAAAAAAATGTTAGTCTTAGGAACAAAGCAGACTAAAAATTTGCAAAAAACACCCACAACCAGAAACAAAATTCAAGGTCTATGCTACAGGTTAACATTATGATAAAACCTTAAAGTCTAGAATACAAAGATCTTAGTTGTATTATGAATGCTTTAGAGCTATCAGCTTCTATAAGGGATCACTGTTTTAATACATGACAAAAGATCAGTAAATCCGTATCACAGAATAGGGAAATGTACCTTGTCAGTATCTTTTCCAGAAAAGAAAGCAAATAGAGCCTACTTCACACAGGGTTATGTGTAGTGTTGAGTTACACTGGTTATCTTTTAATAAGTGCAATGTTATCACGTAGAAGATACAGTAGTTAAAACTTTCTATGACAACATAAAAGGATAACTCCACTGAAACTCCCATACCATACCACAATTGGTGAAGTACATGCCTTTCAGTTAGAATCTACTTCCCCCATGTTTAATATAGGATAATCTAAATTTAATAAATAATTTGTAATTTTTAAAGTGTTGCAGATGACCCAAACAGTTATACTTTGTCTAGTAGAGTCAGCTCTGGAATAATGAAAGAACTACTCTTTTTACTCCCTGGGTACAATAAACTGAAGCTTAAAAAGTCATCTAGGGAAATGCTGTAATTCATTGCTTATTAACATGAAAGAAACAAAAACTGAAGAAAGGACTGTCAGAAGGAGATATGGGAAATTTGCTGGTAGTTCCTTAAGATGCAGTATTTGACAATCAGCTCAAGTATTCTGTCCCTTGACTACAAGAATAGAGAGGTGGGGAAGGTTGGGGTGAAGTAGAATCTTACAATTGCATGAAGCACTTATCAACCAAATGCCATTCCTTTGTCCATACAAATTAAAAAATAGCATGAGTTCTAACCATATTGCTTCAGTTATCTTAACAGAGAATGCTCCAGAGTTTGAGTCTAACTTGCATGATTTAAGAAGATTCCACAGTGCATTCACATAACCAGAAACCATACACAGCATGCTAGGGCAGAGGCATACCATGTCTGGTAATCTTCTAACTTTACGGGGAAGTTGGTTAAGGAAGCTAAACAACAAAAATAACGAGCTTTCTGCTAGCTTAACTCTTTGAACAAGCTCATTACAGAGTACAGTGAACACAGACATGAGAACACATGCAAGCTTGGAAAATAATGATAAGAAAGTGGTGTTCCACTATTCTATCACCTTCCATCACTAGTCAAAGTTGTAAAGAGAATAAAAGCAAATAAGGGCTGAAATAAAATGATTACACATTCTATGAACATACAGGGAGACAAAAAAAAAAAAAACAAAAAACTTTAAAAAAAATATTATGTAAGCTTGAGATTATTACTGCTAACAAACAGGAATTAAATGATAGAAAAAATATTTTAGGATGGTTTCCCACTATCAAATGAGTAAGGCTATGAAAAAGACTTTCAAAATCATAGCAGAAACAAGCCAGCTTTATGAAGGAGACTTATGCCAATTCATTAGATTACCTACTTCAGTGTTGTAGAACTGCATGACTCCACATTCAGTTCTTTTATTTTTCACACCTTATGGAAAACTCTAAATATTCCGGCTTGCTCAGACTAAGAGGAACCTTGGAACAGCCATAATGACTAAGCAGTTATCTAGATTTTGTAACCAACTGTGAATATTCTTCAGAATAAATAAATAAATAAGAACAAAATCCTACCTGCACAAAACTTTGTAGTCACTTGTTATTTTTCACAACTCTGGAGAGCTAGTGGCTTACACCCTGAAAGAACTGCATTTATATTCTAGTCATCTTGACTACCTATATTGCGTATCATTTATACTAAAACTTAATTACTATCAGTACTTGATAGTTATTTAAATTCAACACACCCCAAGCCTAAGGAAAGCACTGAGAAATTAAGACCTTAATGATTTTTCAATGACATGAATACATAAAATGTGGATTTCCATACACCTCCCTTAAGAGAAAAATGACAAGTTAATGATACAAATATTTAAAGTTTATGTTCTTCCTCAAAACATGAGACATTCATTTCCTATGTTAAAGAATACAAACAAATGCTTTACCCTCAACCACCTCATAGTTGCACTAGGCAACTTCCTCTTTCACTGTCAGCTCCTGCCCTGCACTATTCTTTATCTGAACTGCCAGAATATGCTTCAGAGAGAGCAGGAAAAACACACAAAAGACAGTGAGGCCAGGGAACAAGAAGTAAAAGCAATTGTATCTCTCAGAAGAAAATGTAGCAGCCTTTTGCTTTTTTGTAAAACTGACAAATGAAAACAGAGGTAAACAGAAAAATATTTCCACTTCTGTTTTTCTGCTGAATGTGGAATCTAATTTTGTGTGAAAGTGTATTACAGTTCCTGAAATTTAAGGACCAATATTGAAAACAGAAATTCATAGAAAAAGGGAAGTGTATACATATCTCAAACAGAATGCATTATCTTAAAAATATTTTGCCTTCTCAGTTAAGTTAAAATTGAAAGACATGCAACATGACGAGGCAAATCACTGGGAAAACTCCAGTCTTGATTAAAAATATACTGTCATTCAAGCTTTGTTTAAAAAACGAGTTACAGTGATAATGTCAAGAGCAGAAACCTGTCAAAAGCTGTTTAAAACCCGTACAGCATTTAGTTTTATCCACAACCTGGTGCTATCAGTAAGATACCACTTCACTGAAATTTTCCACAACTTTTTCTGGCATCATCATTTATTTTAAGCAAAAAAATTCTCTGTTCCAGTAGTTTTTTAGTGACAACATATATGTAATAAAAGGCACTACTGCTGTACAAACAAGCAATGTCCCATAAAAATTTCAGCATCCACTTTTTCAAATTTTGATAAAAACTGATAGGTAGTACCAACTAAATAGCTCAGTCCCAACTGCCTTACCTGAGGTATGTACCGTATATGAAGAACAGTGACATCATTAATCCATTCAAAAGAAAAATCACAGCAACATAAAAGGAAGCAGGGTCTCCCAACCCTAACAAACAAACAGTTAACACATGTTGTCAAATATAGAAGATATATCATATCGCTTATAAACCACCATAAAATCAGTGTAATACTGCACACAACATGCTACCTTAATATATCTACAGAAAGCGACAACAAAAAAAGTTAATGTCAGTGAGATTATCGTGAAGATTCAGTTGGAAGACTACACTTCTGGGGGAAAAAAAAAAAAAAAAAAAAAAAAAAAAAAAAAGGAGGGGCAGATACAACACTGGGGCAGTCAGCAGGAGAACAAGCCAAGAGGGAAGCATTAACTGTAAAGAAAAAACCTGCAATGTATAGAAGGCATTACTAAGACCATTCTCTACAGACTACATTTTGACTTCATAGAGCTTTTTAGAACAGGTTTGTACTCCCTGTACGCTCATTTCCCACTTCTTGCAAGAGTAAATCTCATCTTTAAGCATATCACACACAATGCTCTTTACTTTGTTTCATTAGAAACCAAGAAATTTTCCAATAATGCAAGTCTGTCAATTTATTCATTCACAAACACTTCTGCATGCACACTTCTGTTATTCTCTTTCCCATTATTTCTTCAAATGCTCCTGGCTCTAATCATTTCAGCAGTATGGCATAAAAAGCCTTATTCGTTGTAGAGAAGGTAGCAAAACTTCATAGTTTCATATGCAGAAATGATTATTCGCCATTGCTGAAAATACAGCAAGACAGTTCTCTAAGAGGATGATAATGCTCACCAAACGTAGTAGTCTCAATCACTGGTGGTTTTGTTGGTGTGGTTTGGTTTTTACAAAACACAGGAATAAGAAGGTATAAATTTATTCACTGTTTGTTGTTTCTGACAAAATTAGAGAAAGTGACTCAATTCAAGTGCTTAAAGATCTTATACCCTTTGAGCAAAGGAAAAATACTAAATTGTCACCACACAAAAACACGTTAGATAATAAAATGAAACAACTTCACAAGCTACCACCTATCATTCAGCTTTAACTGACTGTAGAACACCTCAAAAGCACTTCTCGGCAAGATACTTTTATCATATAATACTTGACAAGCCAATACTTTAAATGTGGAAAAAAACCCTCAAAACAGTGGCAGTGTCCAAGCTTTGGTGTCAAAATCAAGGTACAAAATTAAAATTCTTATGCTGAATATTAGATTACAAGAGGAAGAGGATTCTTCCCAGGAGAATCACTACACAAGATTTCTCCAAAAGGCAGCCTTGTGGTTACCTTTTTCCCCTTCCTCCCCACTCTTCAAGATGTAGTCAGGGGAGGAAATACAGATGGTCAGTTTTTGAAACACAGGAACTTGGAATGTATTGAGGATTCTACAGAAGCTACAAAAATTTAAAACATGTATGTACAGTGGCCTGACATTTAGGACATTTTATTCTTTGTAACAGTCCAACATTATGAAGGCTCAGACTACAACTCAGAAGTTTGAAGTGCAGTAGAAGAATTCGGTCTAGGTAGGAGGAGCTATCTAGTAAGTAAAGCCCACATTCTCACTCCTGGTATTCTTAAAAGCATCTTTTTTTTTTTCATGTTTCTCACTCCTGTTGTGAACCTGCCAAAAACACAGGCTTAGCCAAATGAAAGCACGTCAGTGATAAAGACACAGGAATATTTATTACTTCTGAAATACGTAAAGCTGCAATTATATGCTTCCAGGAAGAAACCACATAAATAAAACACAACTCACCCTCGCAGCTTTCAACAGGACTAAGCCCTTTTCCTCTGTTTACAGTCCAACATGTCTTTGTCGGTACACCAAGGAAATCCATAATGGCAGTATATATGCGGTACCAGCTGGCGAGGACCACCTAGGTGCAAAACAGGATTTGCGGTTTCTGAAAAGGAACTTTGAAATTAGCTCAATGCCCAAGGTAACCTCTCACAATAACTGGCCCTCATCCAGGATTTTTTTTTTAACTCTGAATTTATCTCAACTACTTAGCATTTTTGACCATAATTTCCTAAAGGCATCCAACATAGACCAAGTGTTCGTTAATATACTAAAATTATGTCTGCTTTAGAACAGAAATTTCATGTATCGAACTGCAATATTTGAAAAAAATATACATTTCAATGTTGTTTGGAAGATTCCCCATTTAACTACTTTTATCAGATATTAAAATCCCAGATTTTTTTGACAGAGGACAGCCAAATTAAATCCATTAAAAGCAATTAATTTTTTTTCCACCTGGCAAGAGCATTAATGGACAAAATCTTCAGGGTTTTTACTCAGTGAAATTTTGATAGGTTAAATTTAAGCGTGCATTAGAAAGAGCTTCCAGATGCAATGTAAGACAGCATTTCCATTTTTCATGCAAATGTCATAATATCCTTATAACAACAAATTAAATCTCAACACCTGACACAGAAAACATCAGTATTTTACACACAGAAAAGTAACAACTCATCTCACAGCAAAATCGCTAGTTAACATTACCGAGCTTTTCTGTCAGGATTTAACTGACTCTATAGAGAGTTCATAAATGAGTAATGTGGCCATTCCAGTTGAGCTGCTTTGAAAGTTATAACCCAGGGGTTCCCAGACTGAAAATATGTTTCACCACTGCAGTATTAGCTGTCTCAGCTCTGTATCACAGAAAACATGTACAAGAAGGATGATGCTCTCTTTTCTTTCCCCATACAATTAATAAAACTCTTTATGTCACTTCTATCAAGATGGGCAAGAAGGAAACACAGGGAATTACGCATTGATCTCTGAGAACGTGATGGAGTAAGTCCTCCTGGAAACCACTTCCAAACATACTAAGGACAAAAGAGTGCCTGGAAACAGTCAGTATGGATTTACAAAGGAGAAATCACACCTACCCAACTTCATAACCTTCTGAGATGACTGTCTTGGTAGATAACATGACAGCTGTTTTGTGGGGTTTTTATCTGGTGCCAATTCTGTTCTACGTCTTAAGACTAGATGACAGCACAAAAGAACATCCTCAGCAAGTTTGCAATGATAGAAAATTGGACGGAGTGGTTGATGCTTGTGCTGCCATTCAGAGGGACCTCAACAGGCGAGAGGAATGGGCCAACAGGAGTCTCATGAAAGGGATATGCAAAGTCCTGCACCAGGGAGGAACACCACCATGCACCAGTGCAGGCTGGATTTGACCAGCTAGAAAGCACTTTTGCAGAAAAGGACCTGTGAGTCCCAGCAGACAAGTTGTATTTGAGCCAGCGATGAGCCCTTGTTGCAAAGAAAGCCAAATGTATCCTCATCTGTATGTCACCAGGGCAATAGAGTTGATTCTTCCCCTCTACTCAGCACTGCTAAGATCGTATCTCCAGTGCTGAGTCCAGCTCTGGGCTGCCCAAGACAAGAAGGACACAGAGTAAAGATGACCAAGACAGACTCTTTTCAGTTGACAAGAGACAATGAGCACAAATTGAAATACAAGAAATTCCACTTATATATAGGAAAAAAACTTTTTTACTTTGAGGGTGGTCAAACATTGGAACAGATTGCCCGGAGGTGGAGGTATTCAAAATGAAACCAGAGATGGCCCTAAGCAATCTGCTCTATTTCACCCCACTCTGAGCAAAGTGTTGAGACTAGACGATCTTCAGACACCTCTTCCAACCTCAGCTGTTCTGCGATTCTAGAATTCAACGATTTTGAATACCAGGGCTCCAATTATCATAGCTGACTTAATTTGTGGCCTTTGCACTCTCACACTGTAAATCTTCTATATTTAAAAATACAACTACATCTTTCTAGACCAAGACTCCCTGTCTCAATATTGTGTCCTGCAAAGTACACTATCCTGAATTCCTGGAGGCTTTCTGAACACCTATGCCCTGGCACTTCTGTCTGTGAATGTGTGCATACATGGACCAGACAGCTGCCTCATCTCCAGACAGGCAACAACAAGACCGGGTAACCAAATCCAAATCTTTCCTCTTATCACATGAATGTGGTTTGTACATGGCCAACAGAATGCATATGGTGACTTAGAGACATCTGTCTAGTATATTTGTATCACCAGCCCTGAAGGTGACATTACCCTAAGCACATAAAACATTCTTGCTGTACCAATGTTGCACAGGAAAAATCTATTAATTTATCAACTTAACCTTTTATGTCACAAGTGTTCATGTCTGCTACAGATGTTACCACACATGAATACTCCCTAAAAAGGCACCAGGTTAGGTACCTCATGCAAAACACAGAAACATTTTTTTGCCAAAAGCTACTTTACATGAAACAATTAATATGGGCAGAAAAAACAGAAGCAAATCAGTAACACAAAATTGGTAGGTCAGTTAGAGCACAATGGTGGTTTTGGAATTTCTGCTGTCCCATATCAGATGAGGTAGTAAATGCAAAACTTGGAAAACAAAACACTGTCTCTCAGACCCAGGAGATCTCTGTGGGCCAGGCAAGTCCTTTGCTGTAAAAGAAAAGTCAATTCCTTTTACTAGTTGCCTTTGAGTAAGCACTTCAACTACACCGTTCTTTGTAACACTCATCACTCCAACTCAAATTTTTATCATCACTGCCACACACAGAAATATCAACTGTTCTGTAATGATGAACAGCCAGAGAGTAAAACAACACATTGTCTCTCCACCACAGAAATTAAACCACTATGTCTCTACCATTTTGCATCAGGGATCACAGATGAAAACACCACCACAACTAGTGGAACAACCTGACTATGCAGCAAACGCATGGAAAAATCAAGACTTTAAGTGGACTACGATACTGCACAACTGCAAAGGTGACTTGCTGCTTTTGACAGGCTTTTTTTTTTTTTTTTACTGCTTACATTTATAATTTACACAGATGATGTAGTGATTAATATGGACTCGCTTTACATTTTTTTTTCCCCTTCTTTTGTAGTATTCATAGCCAGTACTGGCTGCACATGCAAGTGAATTGTTCTATTTTTCTTAGTGTTTAACATCCTATTTAGTAACTGGATTTCAAGGCTATTTCTGATGCAATTAATTTTGAAATCTGCTAAACAAACACTTTATTAAAATTCAGCCTTAATGCTACTATTTGGGCTGAAAGAGCTGGAAAGATCCTAAAATATCAAACAGGAAACGAAACACTTTCAGAAAACATGATGATACTGAGCATCAGAAGGAAAAAAAATTCACTGCCAAGAAATAAATCCACAAGCATCTTCTCACCACCCCATCCCATTATAATCAGAAGTAAAATTAGATAAATTTGGAGAACATACTTCAGATGTCAGGTTGCACAGATTGACAGTTTTATAGATGTAGTTATGTGGAAACAAGAGTACTCAAGAAATACACTTTTAAAAAACACTATTTACTGGAAGGCTAGACATCAAGCAGTAAATGACAAAGGAGCAGAGAAGACTATTTGTCTGCTTTGCGTGCCCACACAGGCACAAAAAAGATGAATGTATTCATACCTTATCACCAAGTTCTATGAGCCAGTATGATCATAGAAAACTCTGAATGAACCGACAAGCCTACACATTTTGCACAGTAATCTACCTAACGTTCTTACAGAATGTCAGCCACTGTATCTCATTGCTCTTGTTTTGATTTCATCATCCAATTGACTTAGTCATCTTTCACGGTGATACTGATGATTCTCTAAGATCAAGTTCATTTGACCAGCTACCTTCGATTTTTGCACGTCAGACTATAGCCGAAGTCAATAAATCTCAGCTGAAGAAAATAACTTCATAGCATTCAAATAAGGTATATGTTCCTAACGTTGCATTTCCAGAACTAAACTGCAATCTCTTTGGAGTTAACAAAACAAAACCAAACCACCAGAAAAACCCCAAACCAACCTAAAACCAGTGAGAGAGTAACAAGAACTCATCTATAGCATTTAGTTTTCCCAGAGCAAGGAATTAAGAAGCAAATGAAACCACTCCATGCAAAGTTGTATAAATACATGCTGAGAACTCTTACATAGTTCCTGAAAGCAGCTCTGCTCCAACAGAGCAGGAGAATGAGTATAAATGCTAGTAACCAACTATTACAGACAGTCTTTGGTTCTCCAAAAAATAAACTGTTGCTGACATATGGAGTTACAGAAATGTACAATAACCAAGGAGTTTTCCCTTCTCAAAACGTTAAGACACACTGGCAAAACTGTAAGAGAGAAAAACAAACGTTTCTGTACTTAAAGATGTTCTTTTCAGTGACAAAAGAGCAGAGTAAGAATGTAGTCTAACCAGGTAACAAGTCTAATATCAAGTAACTAGCATCAAGTAACAACAGCAGTCAGTCTTCTACAGAGGAATTTCTGCAACATGTTAAGTAGACTATTACCATTCACAGATTTTAGGGGCCACAGTGAACTGTGATATGTTAGTTCTTTGTCCCGTACAAAATGCATGCCAAAATAACCTCTCAGTACCTGTATCATTGCAGGCATTATTGTCACACACTACTGATACTCTGTGTGCTGTTTCCTAAAGTACAAAATGTCAGCAACTTACTTGCTTTCAGTGAAAAGAACAAAGTAGTATAGAATTGGATTGAAACTTTAGGGCACAAAATATGAAGAACTACAAAGTATTCACATTTGACTGGACATAACTGAAGTCTGAGAATTGATTACAATGTATTAAATCTGGAACTAAAATACAGTATTTAAGCAACACTTCATTAGTCACTATATCTTTACAACCACATTTTCCAGAGTACCTTTCTTACAAATTTGTATTCAAATCTAATGAAACCAAAGATTTATAAGAATGTATTATTTTTAAGACACAGCTTACCTCTGGGTAAAGATTGAACCTCTGCAAGGTGTTAATCACTAAAGGATACTCAGTTAGCCTGTCATTCATAATTGCCCATACTCCATTCCAAAATGATGGTGCCTCAATTATGATCTTGAAGTAGGAATAATATAGACCCTGTAAGAGAACAGAATCATTATCTACGATTAAAGAGGTCACTTCTGCTTCATGAACTGCCATATACAGCTTTGTTTTTAAATCAAATTTTGTAATAGAACAGGAGAAAATTATTCAAGATGACTATCCAGTTTTACAAACCTCTTTTAGTGCCACCAAGACAAGCAATGTGGCTTATCTTCCACCTTGTTTCAGAGCACATGTGGAAATCTCTCATTTGGGCTGCTACGTACTACATAGTATTTCACAAATCTCAAAATAAAAGCAGCCAAGAGGTGTATACATATATAAAAGCAGCTAATAGGTGTATACATATGTGAGCATTCATTAATTTAAAAAAATATTTTTAAAAAAGACTATAATTGAAAGTAAGCTACAAGGTACTTGTAGTTTTGTATTTTAGTTCCTCTAGAATCGTATTTTTAAATTATAATTGAACCGTGAAGAGATACGTTCATAGTAATCAGCTGCAAGACACACAAATGCTCTGTGCGTAAAAGCGTAATGCACATTAGTTGCAAGATATCAGTATATTTACTTATCCAGAAGGTATTAAGAAATTTTGGAAAGCCCACTATCACAAGATGACAGAAGTTTTGCAATCACTGAATTTTTATTGAAACATAATCTAACCATTTCCGTGCGAAAAGCCATTTCTCTTTCTAGCGTTGATAGGTGAGAAAAATGACGGTCATTTTCAAAAAGAGTTGTTATGTGACACCTGTTAAAATAATAATAATTAAAACTGAATAAGGAGTTTTAGAACCTGTACAAAGTCATACATATCAAGGAACAGCTGGCAAAACATTCAATGAAGATCCAAGTTTTACTTACAAACTGCTATTTTAATTTACTCATACACGATACCAACATTCTCCTCTATTGAGATTACTTCAAATGGAAAAAATATGAACCTATAGTAGAATTAAATAATTCTCTATAGAATTAGCTATAATACTCTAATGTATTTTAACTGAAGTGCAGACGCTTAAGGATCAAAAATTTAATGCTATTAAAACTATCATGTCTGCTATTAGGAAACAAAACTCAAATATCTGACAAATGAAAAGAAACATACATTAAAAACTGGGGTAAAAAACAGTGCACATAGAAGTAGCGTATGTTTTTTCCACAAAAATCTTTCCCAACTTGTATTTTAATGTAGTTATCCACCATTATATATAGATGCGCTTACCATCAAAAGTATATTTAAATAAAGATATAACTAAAGGCGGGGGGGGAAGCCAGGAAAAATGCAAATAACTTCGGAGGCAAAACTTACAATTACCAAGAGGAGCTTTGTCTCCAGAAAAGATAGAAAAAGAAAGAAACAGAGCAGTGCACATGACTCTGCTTTTGAATAGGAATTTGCAAGAAACAAAGTACTAAAAATCAGTAGTTCTTTTTGAGCTAGGAAACAAAAATAGAGTGGCAGAAGCTGTTACTTTTTATCTCTGCAAAAGCAGCTAGTGAAAATCACTACAGAAGCCATTCTACCTCGAGTCTATGCTACAATAAAGGGTGAGGATTAGGATAGAACCTGAAACATGAGGATTACGTTGACAAAAAGTAGTTGAAAGGCCATTCTTCCATACACAAAGAAAACACTGGCCAGACTTTTCTGAAGCAGTTAGACAAAACATGATGTAAAACTAAAAAATTAAAGCAGAATCTAAATAAGCAGAAAAACATACGAGAAAGTTGAAAGGATTTACATGAACTTTCAAAACCCCCTGAGAGTAAAAAGGTCTGTTAGTGAAAATGCACCAGAATTTGTATAGCTAAGCAACAATTTTCCACCTGGAAAGCAGGCTTCACTCTTCATTTAAGGCTTAAGAAACATTTTACGTCACTTTCACGAGAACAAAATTACTCATCTTAGAGACAACAATTTGGTTTTGAGAGGAAAGATCTAAATATGAATTATCCCAATAGCTTTTCTAAATACAAGTCAAAATTTTATTTTTATTATTTTAAAATACCGTATTACTCTCAAGCAGTAAGTTTAACCTTACCAGTGTAGGACTCCTGCAAAAGCAGCTGTAAAGGAAACAAAAGGTGTCAAGTTACTCAAATATTTGAATAATTGAACAAGAAATCATGTTCATTATAGTAATTACAGTACTACTACAGAGATGCACAGAAAGTGCCTCCAGAGGAACAGAAGAATAGGAACATCTGAATTAACTTTCACAGCCAGCTCTTAAAAGATTTTAAATTATGCTGATGGTATTCAGCAACAAGCAATGTTCCCCATTATATCCTGCATGACTCAAGTTGATCCATCAGAATCTAATGCACACATTTCAGTTATCAATAACAAAACTGAATTAGAAGCATTTTTTTAATAAGCGTAAATATTTTCAACATTTTAAAGATACCTACTGTGACTGTTCACTCAACCCCTGCTCAGATTTTGGCCAACATACAGCTCATGCTAAGGCCCGATGTATGCCAAAGGTCAAAGCAAGGGCAACACACAGGCAGGACATGGTGTCCAGAAAGGACTAAAGGTCATTATGCAGCCATTATCACCTGCAGCTTGCTGTCTCCTGCAGCAATAATCCTCACTTATTGATCATCTGGCACTTTCTTCAGAATTTGCTAACTCATGAAAATGGTATAGACCGAACATCCAAGCTGAAGGTATAAATACATCAGCTTACCCAAAAAGTTTTTGAAGCAGATCCAGCAGCAGCTGGACTGCTGAGACTTTTGTGTTTCCCAGTGTAATACAGAGGACACCAGCACACGATGGAAGAGGAAGGATGAGCATTCCCACCATCAGCTAAGTAACTATTTTGCTCACAGGCAAGAAGTTAGGAGTTGCGAGTTAGGGAACTTGTGAATTAGAAATCTCATGCCTTAAGTGAGGAATTAGTGAATTCCCATGTTAGACTAGTCTGTACAAAGTGGACTGAACCCTTATTTGTCATGTATGTTTGTTTTCTTTCCTAATAAGCTCATAAAGTTTAATTTACAGAGTACACTGTCCTGTAAATTTGAGTGATTCAAACAGACCATGAGAACCAACACAGATTTAATTGAGACTGTAATTGCCAAAAAAGGTAGGCTCTACATCTAGTAACATCCCCTTTGTCCATTCGGAGACTATTTGCACTGTTGTCAAGTAAGTATAGAACAAGGGAGGTGATCCACGTGTCAAAAGGAAAAGACAAATGGTGATGAAGTGGTGGGGAAACAGTCTTAAGTATCTGACTTCTTGAGCATGACAAGATCCACAGAGAGAAATCACTCCATTTTGCTTGGGCAGCATTTACAACATATCCAGAGCTCACCACGGAAGCAAAGCCAGCATGAGCGAGGGATAAAGGGTGAGCATTTAGAAGGACCATGGTGCTCCTTCTAGACTGAAGGTGACTTGGTTGCCCTCTAGGCACACAGTGGCTCTCTGCCATTGAAAAAGGTCAGGTAGACTGGTTGCCTTCAAACCGAGAAAATCTTCAGGGTTAATGAAGAGCCCTCTTATTCACAGAGGCTACATGTCTCAGAGTGAAAGAGGAGAGGGCAACCACCCTCCCTGCTTCCACCCAGATGGAGCGGGACAGGTGCTGAGCACCGTGTCCTTCTCCAGGGTGCTGATGTGCACACACCTCCTGCCCCGCACACGCCCCAGGCACCACCCTCCCTTGCTGACCGCCGCGTGGAATGGGTCAAATTGATTGCACATTGGCAAAACGTACGTCAAATGCCTGCACACTGATGTAGAACGTAGTCGGAGAGAGAGTGAACATGTATGTGTGCAGACCACGTTACGTGCGTATGGTGGCCTGTCTCTGGGACAAGACAAACGCCTCTGCAAAACCACTAAATTTAGGCAGAAGAGTAGTGGACTGAATGTACACTTCATGCCCTAGTATATATTTGCAAACCACATGTTCCTTCAACACTGGCAGTACTTGTTGTCATTGTCACCACAGGTCATAACGCAACAAACTACATTTATGAACCACAATTTTTATATTAAAGTTTTGTATACAAAGACACATGAGGTGAAACTGGGCGAGACAGGGGAAAAAAAAAAAAAAAAAAGAATTACCCAAGGGGAGATAACATTTCTAAACTACCTGCCTGTACAATTTAACATTTGCCTCGTTACATACTTCACATAGTACTTGAGTTTGTACAATACCATAATACAATACCACACTGAAACTTCCTTAAGAGCTTTTCAGTTCCGCTACAGTTGGTAAGTAGTTCTTCTCAAAGACAAGCCTGGATTTCAGTTAGAAAATGAATACCACAAGCTTCCATTTAAAACTTTACATTTTCACCTATACTCTCCAGGAAAAAAAAAAAAAAAATCACTAGGGGATTGCTCAAGTATAGTTCACATTAAGTGGAATTTAATAGGGAAAGTGTCAGAAGCCACAGATGTTTTTTATACCAAGGACATCTACGTTAGTTCTCATGGAAAGTTGCAAATTCCTTTTTCAGAAAAGCAGGTATAAGGCCTTATTCAAGAATAAGGCCTCAGTTCAGTAGTCAATTAAAAGAAACCCAACACAATAAGGCAAAGTGTTGTATAAGAACGTCCTTGAAAATCTGACAACCTTATTGTTGCCTGTAATTTGGAGAAAATCCTTAAGAGAACAAAAATTCAAATACCACTAAAACTAACCAAAACCCACTATTTTTGGTATTTGGTATATGTACATTCTTTGTTACTGCAAATACTGTATGCTGTAACATAAGATATGGAATTCCAGGTAGGTACATTAGCTATAACAGAAACACAGCAAATCATATTTCATAAACAAACACATTTTGTAGTAATTGTATGGAAAGAAACAGAGCAGCTCATAGCTCTCTTAGTTATTGCTTATTGAGTCTCATATTTGCACAAGGCATTATTGAATTTCTCAGCAACATTTCTAAGATTCCCAATAAGGTAAGATGCTGAAATACATTTACATATACACACAACCCAACTATAAGAAAATATCAGTTTTAAGACAGATTACTGTATATTATTACAAAACATGTAAAGTCAAAATAAATGCACATTAGCTACCAGTACTGTTCACGATCTCAAATTCATTTAGTTCCAAATAAGCCAAGTATGCAGTATTTTATTGTTGCAAATAAATTATCTATTAATATGGAAATTACATTTCAGATTCAAACATAGCACTTACTTCATAGAGAAAACAATACATTTAAATCTGATTCTTCCCTTCTGTAAACATTTCATTTAAAGTCAATGCATTAAGTGTAAACACATTCACAGTTATTTTGGAGAATTTCATATACATTTTTATAAAACTTCACAGTATCACTCTATTATAAGTATAAAACGAAGACCTTTTATAATCACACAGCAATTCATGTAATTACTCACATTTCAAGAGAAAATGCGCTTAATTCATAAATTTCCACTATGAGTCCAAATTGGCATTTTTCAACAGACTGCATCCAGACTTACATTAAGCTAGTTTCTGATGGAAAGCATGCAGATCAGCTCTCTTAAATTACCATCCTTTGATGCCATTAATGGCCTTACTAGGGAGGGAACGAAGGAGAGGAATACTAGAGTCCTAATGCTATAAAGATTTCTACAGCTACTATGTACTTCAACTTGCAGATGCCATTTTCTCACTCAACCTAAGAATCCTTAAAAGCAAAGCATATGATCAGATTTTTGCAGACTAGGGCTATTATGTAAAGTCTGATAGTTTATTCTTCAGATTTCCTATTTTTGCCTGTGCTCTGTTCTAAGAAAAGCAATATGAATGGCATATAAAAAGCATTCTAATTCTGGAAATTAAATACTGAAGAATAAAGCCATAATATACAGAACTCATTTACCAAGAGAGCAACAAATGCTGAGATACTGTAATGCAACAGGATGTGAAACATATTAGAAACTGATTAATACCCTGCAAGTATCCCCAGAGTGACTAGGTAGGAATAGAGCAGCACTGAGAACAATGAGGAATGTGCAAGCATTGACTACTTCTACAGCTTAGTCAAGATGTTTCATTGAGATTCTGTGCAATTCAAGAATAAGGCCTCAATTCAGTAGTCAATTAAAAGAAACCCAACACAATAAGGCAAAGTGTTGTATAAGAACGTCCTTGAAAATCTGACAACTTTATTGTTGCACGTAAATTGGAGAAAATCCTTAAGAGAAAAAAATCCACACCCCATAACAGAACTAGCGTCAACTGTGGGAGCCTCCGTTTGTAAAATCTGGACCTTAAAGCTTAAGCAGAACAACAACAAAAATTCAAATACCACTAAAACTAACCAAAACTCACTATTTTGGGTAGTCGGTATATGTACGTTCTTTGCTACTGCAAATACTGTATGCTGTTACATACTTTGCTACTAAGGGTTTACTCCTATCAGAAATATAAATAGCTTCCTGAAGTATTTAATCAGCTATCTGGGTTTCACAGTCAAATTCAAACTCCAGAAATTATAAAGCTCTCTACCTAATCTGCTCTCAAATTTCAATCAAAGGAAAGCAGTTTTCAATTTTGACCATCAGTTTAACATTTCTATGTTATTTAAGTCACTACTAGTCTAGGAAATGCTGAATAAACAGAGGTAAGCAAAGCAATTCAGGAACAGTTTATTCATCAATTAGTTTGTAAGCTAAGGGTTGTTTTCCCTGCTACCACCTTGAAATGTAATCCATCAAACTGAAGAAACTCCCTTTGGCAACAAGGACTACTGGTGGTGTGATTAATTCCAGCATCACCGGAATACCCTGACAGTCTTTTAATATAATACCTTTAAGAGTATACCTAATTGTGCACCTGATAAATATACTATTATTTAACATCTGTTAACTTTAGGAATGCATTTCTTATTTAATTTTGAAAAAAACTTTAGATGCTTTTTCCAATACTTTGGCCATTAGCCTTTTTATTATTTACTCCAAAATATTCCCAAAGATAATAGCATCTGAATTTACATCCCCCTACAGCTGTATGTTCTTCCACCTGTAATCCTTCCAAAACAAGCTGTTTTGACTGCATTACTTTATAAGAGTTGCTTCCTCCCCGCAAATTAATAACTGGATAGGAGAGATCCATAAATACCTGGACAATTATTCCTAGTTCTGATACCACATCAACTGCTGCAGTAATAGCTTTACAAAAGTTACCTGGTAGGAAGTTGTCCCTTTTCAACATGCTTTTTTGTTTTTCCAAGTTATATTCCCAAATATATTTTGATACAGTTTACAATTCCAAATAAAGAAGGATTAAAAGAACAGTATTTATCCCTGACATACTTACCCAGAAGGAAAGTGAGCCATATCTTGCTGTCAGCTCTTATAATGAAGGCCTTTCTGTCCTCAACGAACACTGGCAAAAGAAAACAAATACCTTAAGCATCAATTGAGAACAACCTCTGTAAAAGGAAATCTATTCGAACTCTACAGCATTAGTTTTCTGTAAAAATCTTGACTAGACTTCAAAAATGCTGAAAAAAATTTCATACCAGTTAGTAACTACACATAAAAGCTTTAGACATCACAGACAGACTATTAAGGTGACAACACAAATCATCGGGTTCTTCATTCCCGACACAACTTGTACAAAGTAACTTGTCAGAAGAGGATTTCTACATAGATATGTTATTGACAAACCCCCTCAAACAGAAAGTCAGCCTTTTAAAGAATAGGTAAGCCTCCATCCTTTCAGCAAAGCGTGATCAGGGAATAAGCTGGCCATCTCAACACTATAACCTGAGCTAATCAACATGATCAGAGAGGCTCTTTTCACCAGAGTTCGTTACACAAACAGCACGTCTTCCCATTTCTCCCCTAAAAGGTGCTAAAGTGGTAAAAAGCCCTTTCCCTTCCCCTCGCCCCCGACTCGCGCCGAGACCAGAGTGGGTCTTGTCAGATTTTTTTTTTTTTTTCTTTAACCTCCTCCCGTAGTGACAGGCTGGAGGACGGCCACGGGGAGAGCGGGAGAGCAACCGGCCGCCCGCCGCGGCCCCAGGCAGCACCAGACACCCTCCTCCCG